GGTGAGGTGGAGGAAAAAATATTTACTAGGCTTGACAATGCTATGAGTTTCTGGTGCAAATGCTAAATAATTTAATTGAAAATACAGTGAATATTTCTGAATTTAAATAAAGTTCCCAGGAAGCATGTTCTATGCAAGTTAAGCCACACTGATAAGGGTGGAATTCATGAATACAAGACCAATCCATTTCATTCACATGCTCACAGCCCCAGTCAACAAATGTTTGGCAAGTTACAAATGCAATAGCCAGTTTCAGGTCTCCTGATCCAATTATTATGAACCTAGGCTAGCTACCTATATATTACACTATCCAAATCTCCACTCATACCTACCCATCCTGATTCACCATTGTAAAACCTAATTAGCACCCAATCTAGAATGTTTAGTAGATGATGTTTTTAAGCATTAGGTGTAAAATGATTTATTGAGAAGCGATTTTTGAAACTTATTACGTACTAAAGTTGTTTAAATTTCCTCAATTGAAACATGACACTTGGCACAAACAGACAACAGCCACCAAAAAATTGTCAATGGATAGGGGCCAAGGTCAATAAGTTATTTAGTTAATAGGGCATGAAATGCCTCAACACTTATGATAGCAGGTAATATTTATAAAAAATTAATTTTATAAAGCCAATTAAACAGGAACTTTTAGGCCAATATAGAATTTTGTACAGATAGTAGATATATTTTGCTTTTTTTAATCATTTTTTAAAAGAAAATGGTACATGGGTAACAGGAACATCTAAAATTATCTGCCTGCACTTGCAGCACATGTCTAATTAATGGGTAGTTTTAGCTTGATTCTTCAGTTTGTCATTCAGGCCAATTTGGAATAAATAAATTGGAAAAAAGCATGGAAATGGGCAAAATTGCCAGATTGATAGGCATTTTTTCCAATTCATTGGACAGGTGACTTCTGATGATTTTCTATATAGGCATTCAGTTTTAAGTATACCAATGTGAAAGTACCATCCAATTCTAATAGCTAAACTGCTAAAGTTGAACAATTTTTTCTTCTTTATAATTTATTGAATACTGAGATTTATATTTTAGTCTAATATTAAGTATAAAATGTATAATACTTTATTTTTAAATGCAGTAGTAAGTTAGGTATACATATCATTATCAGATATCACGATAGTATCTGTCACTATCAGACTGTCAAGCTGACAGCCTGACAACTCTGCCAAGCAGCCAAAGTGGCAACTGATGTGTCCATAACACTAACAGTAGTAGACTAGGCCAGAGGGCCAGAGGCCTAGTAGTGTTCTTGCTCATTCAATTAGGAATTAGGATTGTAAATTTACTCTTCTGATTAGTAGAATAGTAGGACTTAGAAAATGAAGGAAAAAAACAAATAGTCTTATGGTTACGGGCACTCTTACCTCAACTTCAAGTTTTCAAGAATTTGATTCAGTCCATTGCAGAGAAGGTCAAGGAGACTAGGAGAGCTCTAAACTGATTTGTTCTTTGGTGAAATCACTAAAATTTTATATAATTAAAAAGTTCTTGGAACAACTCAGAGTATTTGAATACCAGTATTGAAGGTACTAATATCAACAGGCGTCAGGCAAGTCTGAAGTCTCAACTTTTCAAGCTGCTCACTGAGACTGAGTCTGAGACCTGAGTCACTGTCACTTCAACAGACAAATTCACACAACTAGAAAATAATTGAATAAAATCAAACAAACACGAATTTTTCATATGAAAAATAAGAGCAGTGGCATAAATTAGGTAACAAATCAATGGCAAGTAAGATTTGCTTGCTGTGAAAGTGAGTGCTGTCTCCGTAGATAACCTACAATTATCTAAGCAGAGCAGCTGAGCATCGACTTTGATTTTCGTTTTGTATACAAATGTCCGATTCCATTCCGGCAAATTCAATAATTGTAAAACTTTCTCATACTTCGATAACAACGTAAAAAACTTTTGAACAAATGAAACGTGCTTGTAAGTAAAGTTTTTTTAGTTTATATGGTTGAATTTTTCCATATTTTGTAATTTTGAGTTCATCAACCAATATCGAAGTTGATGATACTCGCTCGAACAATCTCGGAATTCCTAAAATTTTGAATCCCGTTTCTTCTTGACTCTGACACCTGTGGGTCATGGCAGAAGAAAAGTATATCCCGTTTGCTATTTTGTTATAATGACTGGTTGAACCAAACTTCTTTAAAGCTGACTAATCACGATTTTGTATTACGAAATTGTATTGTTATTATTATATCGATCGCCAATTCCTATGCTAAATTGTTTTCATGAAGATTGGGGGCGAATAAAACATTCAGTTACAAGCGATTATAGATACAATATAGCGGCAGCAGCATTTAATGCGAATGCTCCAATGACAAGTTATATTATATATTTTCGAATTTTATGTGTGTGTTAGTGCCTGACGATGAAAAATTTGTTCGTTCGAGTAGTAGATTGTGATTCTATATTTTCGGCGTGATGCTATAAACAGAGCATAATTTTTTAAAAGGTGGAATCATGAGGCACTTCGAAATATGACAATAATTTAATCATAATTAAATGATTTTTCCACTTGCATTGATAATTACTGTATATCATTTATATGATCTATCCTGAGCAACGTCGGTTTAACCTGCTGGTTAAACATATATTATAAGTCAATGTATTAATTCGTATACGTTCTCATTTTAATGTAGCTATCGGTCGTTCATATTTCTTCCTTTTTTTTGCTCCAAAAATTGTACCAGCAATTTTTCGGACGATCTTACGTGCAAATGTTCTTTATTTGAACGCGACTTCGGATTACATACACTACTCTAAATTAAACCAGAACTAAGTTTCATGCATTCGCGGTAGCTATCTAATACTGTGATGTGTAGGTCAGATTTTTAGATTTTTTTTAATTAACCTCGTTCAGATATATGGTTGAATAACAATTGTGGTTTTCGCGTTTGTTAGGCAATGCATGGCCTTTCGACGATTCTAGACGTCATAGAATTATTACAGCTTGCTGCCAATTTGAACCCGCAACTCATCGCTCCACCTTGGTGCTTTTCAACCATTCTGCCACCAGTTCGAATTAAAGGTACCTGCGGTTGGGTACAGCTCGACATTCTTCACTAAATACATTTATTTACTCGCAACAAGTGTGGAGCCAACTTGTTGACTCTGGAATGCACGTTTTTGTATTGAGGACTTTAAACCACCATGATAGAATAGATTCTATCACTTCCATTCTAATAGAAGTGTCGGCACTGAAGAAATAGACTCATGGCCTGTTGTCGATTCTTGTACTTTTCGTGACTTGATTCACAAGGGATCCGGCCTTTGGCACCCGATCTTTCCATAACTGACGATTGATTGGAGTGATGGAATAGAGACCTATCAAATCGAAGCTTCTTCAAACCAAGTTTCGTTCAAGGAAAATATACAAATTAATTTGAAAATATATTTGCGTCTGTAATAAGGCAGAATAAGTTGCATTACAAGTTTAAGCACAGCACTTATCAAAATTAAACATGATGACGTTGCTGGGGAGCTCCGGTCCACAATAGTCATGATTAGAAGACATGATTACCAAAAATTTCTAGCGAACGCAATTTTGAAAATTGTTTAAATTTAGTTAGTAGGAGCACAATAATAAAAAAATGTTATTTTAAATTGAACATTTCTTTTATGTCGGAAATTCAAATTTCCCGTGATGCATTATTGGTATAAATATCATGAGAAACTGTCCAAACTACACAACTTCTGACAAGGAACCAATAATTCGTTAATATATATTATCTATGAACGAGTTGATAGGTATCTATATATTTATATATGAAACATAAATAAATAACTAGGAGCTACAATAAATATTTCGTGGACTATCAATAAGAAATATATACCACGGACATCGCTTTCTTCAGAGTTCGCAACAGCGTCGGTTCACAGACCCAAAAAATTTTATAGCAAAGAAAATGCCAAGAAACTCCACAATATTTTTAATGGAAGCCTGAATTTCTTGACTATTTTGCTATTAAATTCTTAGTTATTATGCTATGGTAGCGATGTGGTGATCTTTACACTGGCATTGATGGAATGATTTCCGAAGCTGCTCCGGTCATAAATAAGTTTAAATAAGGTGTCATAATAAACCATGTAGTCTGCACAATATACAATCAACATCAGTCTATTGCTTCGTAAAATTACTCCCACATTTCAAGTGTTTGATCGGCCAATTCACGCGTTTCACAATGAAACGGCATGCGAGTTAGTTTCTCGGGTCGTCACAATGAAGCGAATTAATATACATAAGTCATATAACAAAGCGTTCATCCTCTGCTCCCCTACTTTTGCCGTATTCTATTGTTAATTTTTATGCCCTAACTACAATTAGTCACGTTGCTAGCAGAAAAAAAAATTATCTCAACTTTCGGAACAGCCTTGAAGACATTGGTGATCAAGTTAGGTACGATCAAAATCATTCGCGCTAGACACTGATCGGTTGGCGAGGCATTACGAAAGAATTTCTCTCAAAATATGCAATAAAAGAAGGAGCACAAGTTGACTAAGCCAAGTGAACCACGACAGCCAAATGATCATGCAAACCTAAGGGTTTACAGCTTCTAATTATAAACTATACAACATCAAACAAACAATGCAACAAAACAAGAGATAACAAGAAATAAAGACAACAAATTGAGCTACATCACAATGTTTTATCGTTGAAAGTTGAACGTTAAAGAAGAGAAATTTGATCCTTTTCAGCGCATTTTCTCATTTATGGAAAAAGGGCGCTATTGTGTTCGTCATGTCCGTCCGTGACTTCACGTTTTCGTGGATTTTAAGAATACTTTAAAACGTGTCGTGATTTAGATTATAGTTTTAGATTGGCCTTTCCAAAAATATGGAACATGGCCCAGGTCTTGGTCTCAGGTCCTTTAATTAATACAGGACTTGCCTTCCTTGAGCCATGGAAAGAAGAACTTCAACTGATTTATGCACGAGAATATGCGCACTCTGTCACTTACTGCAGGAAGTCCTGATCTAATTTTTTCATTTGACGGCAAGAGACAAAACTTGAAATTTTGGTTAATGTTGCAGGCTAATTTCATCACAACATTAATTAGCACACGATCTATTATTTAATGGCGCCAGTGCCCACAATTCAACAACTCATTCTATTTCGCTCATTAAAAGTAGATCCTTTAAGACAACGAAACATATTACCAACCCCTAGCAAAAGTACCTTAAGAACTTTTTGTTCACTCCATCGTCTTAGTTAGTATAGAATATACTAAGAATTTTTGTTGACCCGAATTAATAATAAAATAGTTGCTCGAATACAGCTGTTCATAGGATGAAATTTGGGCTTCAACCCTACCCTACAATCGGTGGGTCAAGTTGAATTGAAATGCCTCCACGCCCTCTGGCTCCAGCATCTAAGTTAGGGTTTTGAACAGACGCGAAATTTTGAAATTCTGAAACAGATGGGCCTTGGAAAGCAATACTCCTTAAACGAGAAACTATTCTGCCATCGATAGTATGCTGTGAATTAACATGGTCGACGACGGAGGTTTGAGGAGTTAATGAACTGAAACTCCTACCGTCTCCAGATGCTCTATCGTTGTTGCCAAACGTCAGAAAATGTGACGAAGAGGCCTCCCTGAAAAGCGGATCACGATAATCACTAGCTGTCAACCCTCCAGAATGCATTCCGTTTTCTCTAATGTTGCCCGCGGCAGCTTCAACCGCCGGCAATGGAGGTGACCGATGCCCCGAAAAATCACCGCTAACATCCGTATTGCTCTCGTATATTCTATGAGGAGTATCCCCTGAACTCTTGTAAATATTTTGAGGTAAGCCTCTGGGATAATGCTCTGTGGATAAGCTTCTTCCCCCAAACGAGAAGCTGTCGTCAAATTCATCATTAATAGGGACAGGTGTTGAAGGCAAAGAATGATGAGGTTCTAGGAGTCTTTCGTGCATTGTCAATTCTTTGGGGAGATTTTGGTTCATTGTCGCTGGATCTCGAGAGCCTTTAAAAGTAGGTGGAAAACGAGCACTGTACTCACTTGATGTCAATTCCGATGGGCTAGTGAGGAAGGATTTATAGGATAAGCTAGGACCTGAAATGTAGCTTTCGGAGTACTGACTATTAGGCTGAGCATTGACATTTGAATTTGCTCCATGATAAAAGTTGACCAAAGGCTCAGGAAGTGCCGGGCTAGGCAGAAGAGAGGCATAAGATGAATCAACAAAAACAAATTCGTCCAGCAAAGCTGACGAGTCGCTAAAACTCGAAGTTTCAGGAATATTCGGAAGAGAGGGCCCAACATTATGGTTAACGCCATGTGCTCCAAAGTGTTTAGGAGCTGTATCATAAATGACGGAAATTCCAGATTTGTAGTTTGGCTGTTTCAAGTCGCCGTTTTTCGCACCAGTGTCAAACTGGTGCTCTTGTTGCCATAATTGAGACTGATCGGGTGCGTTGACTGGACGGACTCCTCTGTCTGAAGATGTATAATGAGGGTTTGGATCAAGTGCGTAACCCACGAAATCGCCAGCCAAATCTGGTTGTGATATCACACCGTTGTTAGACGAGGCGATCTCTGCGTTCGGATGTCCAACCAGCGGTAAATTAGACAGTGGCCTTTCGTGACGATAGTCGAAAGAAACTAAATCAGCGTCGGGTTGCGGTACATCTTTCAATTGTGAAATTCTGCCAGCCTTCGTGACATCATGAGATACAGGCACTTTCATGATCGAAGTTTTGTCGTAAATTTCCAATTTGCGTTCTTTTCGGCTTTCAGATGAATTTGCGGGTTTGGCATTGATACTGTCAGCATCATTTTGAACATCGCTCCCGTTCGAGCTTTTCGTGTCAATAACGTTTCGCTTCTCTGACAATCCTGTTTGTGATTTCAATTCAACATCCGACGAAAAGTTTGACACTTTGTGAGGATCTAATGACTGAACTATTGCAACATTTGATCGATGATCGCCCACTAAAACTCTAGGATAGGAAATTTCAGACGCCTGATAAGCAGAATCCGTAACGGAAGCCAATTCCTTATCACCTGAGTTCCTATGGAAGACTTGTTCGGAGGGCAACGGAGGAGGAGCAACTAAACGGGTTGGAAGGGCTGTCAACGGGTTGAGTTGATAAAACGGATAGTTCGGAGGAAGATCTTTGGGGATTTTAATCGACTTCGGTAAAAGTCTGAAACTTGGAGAACTTTTCCCTCCTTTTTGGTTGTAGCGATGATGGTTACGAATTCGCCGTCGTCCCAGAGGCGGCTCAGTTCTTCGCTGACTGGTGCCCGTTCCCAGTTGCCCGCCATCGCTACCGGGAGCTACATTTTCGGTTACTTGGAAATGAGTGTTTTGAGGAAGAGAGAACGAAATTAAAGGGTTGAAATGCTTGTTTGGCGCATCTGGCATAGGATGCGGTAACTCATGTGTGGTGTACGATGAAATAATCTCGCCCTGCGAAACTGCAGCGTGCTTCGCACTTTGTACATTAATTGTTGGTAATATTGCACGGTTTTCATCTTCACTATGAACAAATGAATCGTCTTCCGTTTCTTCAGAAGATCTGCGACCGGAAAAATAACTCCATGAGTAGGGAAACCAAGATTCCGTCGTGGTTGTAGTTGACGACGGGTTTTCGGAACCCATGGATTCGGTATTGGCGACGAGTTTTCCTCCTTTAATGCGCTCCGTCAAATTACTTTGACTTTCCAATCCAGAAATTGTCGTATTTGATCTAATTTCATCAGTGACAGCTTGAGTCGGAGCCTCAGTTATTGGACTGTCTTTGGTAAACGAAGCGAGTTGATCAGCAAAAAGTTGTGGGAAGTAAGCTGTAAGCCGCGCAAGGTACGATGGAGCGCTCGTGGTGCTAAGGACAGGTGCGTTTGTTGTATGTTCACCCCGATCACTGCTATGATCTTTAAAGCCATTTGGAGCAGCAGGAGGTCTCAAATTTACAGAAAGAATCGGCATTCGCTCAGAATCATTTCCTTTGTGTTGGAATTTGATGTTGTGGTGCGGGCCGTTGTGATACGAATCATGACCGTGCGAAATGTATCTATCAATAGGCGGACTTGGGCGGATGCTGCTGTCTCCATCTCCTGCTGCCATCATTTCCGGTGAAGGAACGTTGATGTTTCCTTTACTTGCTGTACTAGCATCATCTTTTTTCATCTTTTCCCGTGAGACGTTGGTTCGTTTACTTGTTTGCAGATTCGCATTGTTGGTATTGCTTGAGCCGGGGAACAATGCACGTGCTCTCTCATTCATTGGAACTTCTCCATCAACAAGGCTATTGTACAAAATGCCTGATGCACCCAAACCCGAATCGTTGCCATTAGGAAATTCTGATTTGTTGACAAAATCTCTCATGTAGGCCGCTAAAGGATTGTCGGAAGAGTGCCCGTTGACATTATGCCTGTTTAGCATCAGTAGAGTTTGACCTGTAACATCACCGTTTTGGAGGATGTAGCCAAATTGGTAAGGAGATTCATCAAGCTGGGCTTTTTGATCGGCGAGTTCAGACTTTGCCACATTGGTTGCAGTAGATTCTGAATTGATACTTTGACTATTACTGTGCGTGTCTTCTGACTGCATCGACCCTGATGGCGAATCAAGTCGAGGGCTGGAAGAATTAATGGAACTCAAATTAACAGAAATTATTTCTTGCGATGTCACATTCTTTGAATTAATCGCATAACTTGCAGGAGCCTTGTTGTGAAGACTAGTTAGCCCCCACAGTTTTGCTGGTGTTTCGTTCACTTTTATGACGACTCTACTGCGCGACGCGTTGAAATTATTTGGCCGTAGTACCACCCCGGGCATTAGGTCTTCCATTGTAGTCGTAATTTCAAAATCGAGGTCTTCGTTATCATAGGAGTAACCAGATTCTTCCATGCCCTCCGTCATGCTCGCTGGGTAGAGATTGGGAGCTGGTCCGTCTCTCAAGTTGGATCCGTTGTTGTGAGTTTCGTTACCGCTGACGCGGAGCACTGTTTCAGATGAGCTTTGACCAAAATCTTCGGGAAGGGGCATGGATGTGACGACAAGCGTTGGAGGTAATTTGGGTTTGTACTCTGTTGAGTTAAGGTGTACCACGTGATGGTTATAATCAAAGTAATCGTCGTAATTATAGGTCCAGTGCAAGTTGGTGTGCGCCACGTCTGGAGCTCCATGAGGAGGGACAAATTTGTACACAGTTCCTGAAGGCGCTGATGGAAGAGAAATGGAGAACGTCGATGAAGCAGATGGTGCAGAAGCTGGTGAAGCAAAAGGAGGAGAATGATTCTCAGACGGAGGCTCGCGAGATCCAGGGAAACTAATAACAACTGATGATTGAGGAGGATTTGTCTGGACGTTACCGCCCATGTTGACGGATACTTCGCTAGTGGGAAGGTGACTGTGGAAGGAAGGTTCTTTAGGCCGGATGGCGCCACCGGCCTCTTGCTTGTTCGATGATTCAGGAACGATGACGGAGACGTTGGATCCTTGCGTGCTGATGACGGTGTTGTGCTCGATGATGGTAATGCCTGACGTGGCGTTAGTACGAGTGTTGGGTGACGGAGTGACATTCAGACCAGGACGGGCCTGCAACGAAAAGCGTGATGAAGATTTAATGGGCACGAATATTGAACAATAACAAGTAATACCAAGCAGATTACTTCTTGAAAATTATATCGTTTAAAGTTTATTCTCTAGTCCTGCATTCCTTACATGCGTTTCAGTGCATATTTTCCAGCTCAGAAAAATCTCTCATTTTCTAAAATTAATCTCACCTATGAATACTTACTTCAATGCTTATAATTATGAGCACATCATTTATCAAGCTAGAGATTATATTTAATTTAAAATCAATTATTGCCAGCGAATTAAAAATATGTTAAAAAATGAAATGAAAAATTGAGGATACTCTGTATTCAAAACTTAGCGATTCTTTTGACATACAATATATTATAAGCGTATATTTGAAGGCATAATAAACATATGATTGAATGAAAATTATGAGCAGTGGTGATTGCTGGAGTGGCTGTCTGTGTTGTGATTGCTGGAGTGACTGGTGATTGCTGGGGTTATTGCTGGAGTGACTGGTGATTGCTAGAGTGACTGGGGTGATTGCTGGAGTGACTGTGGTGATTGCTGGAGTGACTGTGGTGATTTCTGGAGTGACTGGTGATTGCTGGAGTGACTCAAGTGATTGCTGGAGTGGTTGTGGTGATTGCTCTACAGCTCATCATATATGTGGGGGTGTCCCTGTAACTGACAGGGGGGATGGTGCGCCAGGGCGTGAAGCGCGGGGTGCAGGCGGTTGGTTGCAGACGCGCCACGAAGGGCACGCCGCTCTCCAGCGTCACTCCCAGCTTGCAGAACGATTGACTGCAACAAACACTTGCGTTAACTCGTGTTCGATAATGGTTCTAATTAACCAACACAATGTTGCCTGCTATTTTTTCACGTTGTCATTAATAGTTTTATTCAATCAAAACAGTATTGCCTACCATTCTGTCACATTGTCAATAATGGTTTTAATCAACCAACAATATTGCCTACTATTTTGTCACATTGTCAATAATAGTTTTAATCAACCAACAATATTGCCTACTATTTTGTCACATTGTCGATAATAGTTTTACTCAACCAATACAATATTGCCTACCATTCTGTTAACTCACGTCCATCGGAAAATTTGCGTAAATAACGCTTGCAATCATTATAAGGTATTTTACTTGCGTTAATAGAAGTGGCTGAAATTTGTTACGTCATTGCACGTGCGATTATTATGTATTAATAATACTAGCAGGCAACCCACATGTTGCCGAAGCTGTCCATGATGGACACCTTGTCGATGGCCCAGCGCTTGGAGCCGGAGGACAGCCATCCATCGTACGCTGTGTACAGCAGCTGTACGCTCGTGATGCCTGCACAGCAAACGTGTATGTACTACGAGTAGAGTAGAATAGAAGTGTCGGCACAGAAGAAATAGGCCCATGGCCTGTTGCCGATTCTTGAATTTTTCGTGACTTGATTCACAAGGGATCCCGCCTTTGGAACCCGGTCTTTCTATAACTGACGATTGATTGAAATCGCTGCTGGACTTATTGCCTGGAGTAAATCTAGTCTGGTAAATAGTAAAGCATTGCTAAATCAATTGGACTAAAACTAAATAGTATAGTTTATACTAAATTTAATGTTAGATGGCAGAATTTACTTGTTTATACACGTACGATTGATGACCAGAGAATTCGTTGATTTAAATTATCAGGAAGTGGAACCATTTTTCAGATGACGGTAGACTGAAAGGCAAGTTTTGAGAAGTAGTTTTTGGTTCCACTCCCTGATAATTTAAATCTACGAATTCTCTGGTCATCAATCGCACGTTTATACTGAATCTATATAAAGTAGATTGAAATATTCATTCACCTGTGATGGCAGGATGAGGCACTAGGATTCGCACGGTACTCGAGCCTGCCTTCAGCTCTTCGTCAGGCATCCTGTAGGACGTTTCCGAGTTAATAATTGTCTAATTATTACTGATTGTCTAATTAGTAAAATATGTTTTCATGAAAATCTCATCTAGAATGTAGAAAATATTTAATCCAAGTACGTTTTGTAACTCAGATCCTCTGTCTAAATTTCTGAACGATGACACTTTTACCTCAAATTTAGAGTTTAATTGAGACTATGAATTTTCACTGCATGAATTTGCATGAATTTTGACTGATGGAGACGTGCGTAAAACATCCGTCTTCATTGGTATGAGGAATGGTAACCTTGTGAAGGGAGGGAATAGCAACCTGTTAGAGGCATGGACGTAGATAGGGGAATGGACGCCTATGTGAAAGGTATGGTCATCTGGTGAGAGGTATGGGCATCTGGTAAGAGGTATGGTCATCTGGTGAGAGGTATGGGCATCTGGTAAGAGGTATGGTCGCCTGGCGGGAGGTATGGTCACATGGTGAGAGGTATGGACACCTGGCGAGAGGTGTGGACACCTGATGAGAGGTATGGTCACCTGGTGAGGGTAATGGACACCTAGTGAGAGGTATGATCATCTGGTGAGAGGTATGGACACCTGGTGAGAGGTATGGTCATCTGGTGAGAGGTATGGACACCTGGTGAGAGGTATGGACACCTAATACGATGAATGGTGACATAGAGGAATGGTCACCTGGTCAGAGGAATGGTCTCGTTGATGCCGTCTGCCCCGATGAAGGTGACGTCTATCCTGCCGTAAGTGCTGACGGCGCTCAGCAGGGGCGGCCCCCCCGAATGCTTCAGCGACACCTTGTATTGGTTCGCTGCTCAAGTCCACACCAGAAGTGATTAAATAGTTTGCATGTCATCTGATGCATTCACAATTGCATCAGGAAATACACGAGTAGGACATTCAGAGTGATCATGCATTTCCGCCTTGCTAGTGCAAGTCGTGTACACGATCAGAATGATGTGTACATCGTGCAGGTCGTGTAAATGTATTTAAACAAATTATTAAGCAACCGAGCGCTATCTTACTTCAAATTAAAGACCAACAACGAATTAGTGTACGTGCATGCTGATATGACTACATTTTGGGGGAAACACGAGTTCCTAGTATTGCTGGGCCCTATATTTTTATACAATATCGACCCGAACTGCAAATGCTCACCACAGAAAGGCTCAGAGTCTCGCGTGACAAGGTAAAGCTGCCCCCGACCCTCAGCCTTGTCTGAGTAGTAGCCCATGTTGCCGCAGCCCGCGCACGGAAAGCAGTCCCCCTGCATGAAGGCGTCGTAATCCGTGCACACGAACGCGGGGAACCTGCACACCGGCGCTATGGACTCCACGAAATACTTGTAACCCCGCCGGTGGTTGCACAGAGAACGTCCGTCCCCTTCCGTGGCTGCGTGAAGGAGACATTTGACACTTTATCACTAATGACTGCGCTCGGAAAAATAAATGGCCAAAGTAATAGTGAGTCAGTTATACACCCCCATCGCGAGCAAAGAACGTGAAAAAATGGGTCATGATAACCTACACGAGGACAAACGTGTATCGATGTTTGGACAAAGTTTCGCACATTTCTTTGAGTGTGTGATGCATGTGCGTGTTACAGAATACCTCATTGCTTATGAAAGCGACAGATCTTCAAAGTAATGAGGTAATTTATCTCTCACCCTCATGACCAATATTGCGCTAATTAATTACCACACAATAATATTTATTTGATGTTCCGTTAAAAATTAAATGTTATTAACGTTGAACCATTGAATCAACGACCGTCAGAATAAGTGTTGTAATGAGAATGAACAATAAACAAACAGGAAACATAATTTGATATTTGACTCACGCCACAAAATATCGGACACCCCGCCCACGAAGAGGTTTGTGCATCCCTTCTGCATCCTGCCGCCGTTGGGGTAGAAGTCGACATGCCCCATGGCCTGGTAGGCGCCCAAGCCGCCGCGTATCAACGAGTCTGCGTTAGTGTGGATCACGTCAACGAACTCTGCGTCGGAGGAGTCCAGGCGAACTGATGGGGGGAAGTTCTCGAACAAAGGTCCTGCTGGATCCAGCCCTGCCAAATGTTTGTTTTCGATGAAGAATTATAAGAGTAAATTATTTAAATTTATTAGTATCAAATGTATTAAACTTTTAAAAGACTTTTACTTACAGTTTGAAAATATAATACTTTAGTACTATCAAAAGTATTACAATTTTCCATACGTCAACGTTATTTCCATAAATCAACGCTTTTTAAAGCAAATTTTTAACTGTTTTTTAGATACATTTGATTTTATTCATATTTATTTAGCTAACTCATATTCAAAATAACAAGGACTAGAATTCTAGTACTACAACGTGTATTGATGAAGATTAACAATGGCATCACAAATCACCTGAAATTCGTTTGAATTTTAGCTTCTTGCCAGCGTGGCCAGACACGTGAGCGCCCAGCGAGAAGCCGATCAGATGGAACTTGTCCAGCGAGGTGTTGGTTGCCTTCATCAGCGACTCTACCATCCGTCCAACCTAAAATAATCATTTAAGAAATTCAATTTCCGGTCATTAAACACTCTAAAGACACATCTCGTCAAATTGCGTTGGAATCTTGGATAGTAATTTCACTTAAGCTATTGCTAAACAACAATAAATCGAGTGCTCCCTAGCTGGGATGACAACCTTGCCAAGCTCTGAATTGCGCAGCGTGTTAGCTAACCAAAATTTAATATACCCGAATACTTGTTTGTCCATAGGATAGCGTGTACTTTCCTTCATAGGAACATCAAAACCAAAAGCAATATTAACTGCAAAAAAATAAAGCACAATTAATCAGTCTCTTACATACAAACACCATATAACCAACACAAGGTTCAGAGTATGGAATATGACTCGGTTCTTGGTGTGGAGTATGACTTTGTTGCCAATATGGGATATTAATTACAGTTCTCGGTACCTGGATCTCGGTATGGTGTATGACTTGGTTCTTGGTCTGGCGTATGACTTGGTATTAGGTATGGTGTATGACTTTGTTCTAGTATGGTATATGAATTGGTGGTTCTAGTATGGTATATGACTTGGTTCTAGTATGGTAAGTGACTTGGTGGTTCTAGTATGGTTACTATGGTATATGACTAGGGTCTAGTATGGTATTTGGCTTGGTTCTAGTATGTTATATGACTTGGGTCTAGAATGGTATATGACTTGGTTCTCGGTATGGAAAAATTGAGGTATGGTACCTGTCGGCCGACGAGGCGCGTGTTGCTGGCGGCGCGCATGTAGTTAGGAACCGTCGCCCCGTTCTCCCAGTCCACGCAGATCAGGTTCACGTCAACCTGCACAAATAAAGAGTATGTCAGATATCACGCTAGTGAAGTATAATATTTATGGTACTTCGAATGGAATGGGTAATAGGCAAGGTGAAGCCCAGAAATGAAACAATCCTAGAGCAAAACAATACTCACCATCGTTAGAAGCGCTGCTCGCATCTCCCGCACCCAGACCCGATGGCAAGAGGACCCGAAGCCATGGACGATCACTTTAGTTAGGCTCTCGGCGTCGAAGTTGCTGGCTTGCATCGACGTTGCGTTGTTGGGGTCAAAAATCTGCGCCGCTTCTGGGTTCTTGCGCGTGAACAGCAGGAACTTCGTGTTGATCTGAGAAGAAGTGTACTTTATTTAATACATCGCTCACGGTTGAAAAATTTATGATCCCGTAGAATCTCTAGGAGAATATCAATTTTGGTAAGACTTGGGAATCCAAAGCGACGTTAGTAGAAGTCAAATAGGAAAAGCAAAGGCGTGTGCCTTCTGTTCTGTTCTGATCGAAGCAAATGTTATTTGATGTTGTCATTTCTAACCACTATACTTGGCTCATTTGTTGATTTCTATGGCAGGACCATGGGTTTGTCACGTAAGTTTACCATTGAAACATTCTGACTCGCAATTAACTCGCGTCGCTGTCCAAGTCAGCGTTAGAAACCGATTAGTTTTAATGAAGCTTCATAGGGTTAGGCAACAATCATTAACCGAAAATACACATTATTTTCAGTAAATTGACAATAAGCAGTAATTAAAGCCAAACGATAATAACAAATTCAAATATAAATGTGATAACTGGTAATTGGGCATACAAGCAATAATTAACCATTCACTTTCACACGTGATCATTTAATGGGCGCCATAATTTCTAATTGGCGCCATAATCGAGAGCCGAGCCAAGGCGCGTACCTCCTCAGGGGGCGAGGGCAGCACGTCCAGGTAGTCGAAGGCGCCGTCGTCCCTGAAGCAGCCCAGGTCCTTGTAGCACACCATCTCCTCGTCGCGCTTCACGCGCCCGCTGACCACACAAGTATAGTATAGTAATAGCAGTATAGTATAGCAATAGTAGTATAGTAATAGTATAGTAATAGTATAGTATATTAATAGTAGTATAGTATAGTAATGGTAGGTAGTATAGTATTGTATAGTATAGTATAATATAGCAATAGTATAGTATCTTCGGCATTGAATAATAGGCCTGGATAGGCCTGTCGCCGATTCTTGTACTTTTCTTGACTAGACTGGCCTTTTGTTCAAATCTTTTCAACGGACGGTAAGTTTAAAATCGCTTATAGATTTCAGTTGTTCCGTAGGGTACGATACGCGCAATCTTAGCCAGCGTACATTTGAAATAAACAATATATAGCAGAATATTAATAAATTGTTACATAGTTCATATATTTATATAATATGGTAGAATATTAATATTCGTAACATTATTTGCATCGCGGATTGTGTAATGTGAAATTAAATTCATTAAATTTACGGACACGAATTTTTAATTTGTGCACAGCTTGTGCGTGAAATAGTATATTAATAAGAGTCATGCATTGAAATTTCTAGTTGTATTTTCAATGTAATTTTTGAAAATGGACACAAGTAATAAATTATAAATAGGGTATTAGGGCATCACCTAAGAGGAGCGTTCCAAAAATCTACTTACGAAGAACTTTTCAGTATAATTAGGAACTATTCATAATCAGTAATGTAATAGTGTTAATTTTCATTGAATATACTTCGAAGAAAAATTGCGTAATGCATGTTAACTAGGTTGATTGGCTCAAGTTAAATCTTGAAAAAATTACAGTGCCGCTGGCCTGGCAGCAATCATGCGCAGGTTTGTCACATCGAACCGCACAAAACCTCATCGGTTTCCCTGGTCAAGCTACATCGGTCATAATGCTGACAAAATGACGTAAAAACTTGCCCCTGTATTTTGTATGATGTCCCAGTAAGAAGAACTTCAATGCAAAGCCTAACTCTTCAGCCTAATAGAAACATGAAAAAGAAGTTCACACAAGAAGGTTTTTAGCCTGCAGTGTTAGACGGCGACGCTACCAACTTTTTGGTATTAATAAAAAAAACATTTCTGGACTCACTAACACTAAAAAAAGAAAAACATCACTCACTTTCTCAACTTTCGCTGCAGTTTCCTTATTTGATACGCAGCAACACTGGTGAAAACTGCCTTGTATATCTCACGGTCGTTGGCTTCGTCTTTTGATTCTTCTTCAGGGTCTGCTAGGCTGAGAATTTTGTAGGAGAGTTCTTCGATTTTCCTGCGCTCAGCTTCATCAGAACTGATAGCTGCAGAGGAGGATTTAAGCCACCTTTTCAATGCCATATCTCGAACCTCAGCTGAAGTGACCTCCCTCGAACTGTGCACTGACATCTTAGACGTCGAGTCCATTGAAGGTACGAGGTCTTCCGTGATGAAGTTCGTTGATGGCTCTGGACGAGCCAACAGCGTGGTCTCATAGCCACTTTCGGGAGCATCTTTAGCAGAAGAAAGTGCTTGCATGAAACCACTGAGGTCTGCGTGAAGCCCTACGTCATCGCCAGCTGCTTTAAGCAACTTCTGCTTCCAAGTGCGAAGATCGATACGGTCTAAGCGCACCTCCTTTGCTTTCTGCAGCTGCTGCTCCAATTCTTGCAAGTAAAACTGCTCGGCGGTTGTTCCCACTTCATCATAATCAGTAGATTTTGTAAGATCTTGAAAATTTTCGTCCTTGACAACAATTTTTTTGGTTGATTCGGATTCTGTGTCGTTTAGCAGATTACTGGGCGAATAAAGCTCATCATCTTGGATACCTCCAACGAGGTTCTTTTTAGAATTTTTGTTGAACAACTTCCGATCCGTTCTTTTCGCTTCATCTTGGCTTTTGGGAAGCCATTGCTGTTCGTCCCCATGACTGCTTGGGGAAGCTTGTGCTGGAGTTAAGGTAAGTCCCCTGCTGAGGGGGGCGATGCTCAGCTGCTGTCGGAACGACACATTTTGGGGAGCGACGGGAGATAGGAAGAGGGATGTGTAAGGGGGCGCCGGGCCTGGGGTGCAAGTCGCGTGTCTAGGGCTACTCAGGACAGCTGCCAGGATCACTGAAACAACGAAAACAAAAATAAATTATAATAATCAACGTTTAATAACGGTTAATATATTCTAAAATGGGGAAAAGTAAGCGCTGCAAATAATTCCTTTACATGATCTGCAGCACATTTCGGGAACATAAAAAAAGCTTGATGCTTAATAAACGCATGTATTATAACAAAAATATATATATAAATAAAATACATGCATCATAAAACAGAAAGTAAAAACGCCAGCTCAAACACGCATTTATCGGTACACTCTGCAATAGTCAATCAAAGTGGAATTGAAGAAAAACGAGGAGGCCCTTATAACCAATTTTATAGCATCACTGGCGTCTTATATCAACACGCTTTCCACGCTCGGATTCAGCGTCCAGAAGAGTCCCGTTGAACAGGTTTCACTTGTCTCGAGGATGACTAGGAAGGAAAAGAAGAATGATTATATATAGCCGAGAAAGACATGGTCTTTAGTTACATGGATCCGTTCACATAACTGAACTCGAAAAGAAAGTAATGGGTTGTGAAACTTTCTCTCTTACTGTATAATAAAGCTGTAACCGAGGCAATGCGGGGCAAAGACGTATCGTTTGTGAAAAACATAGCCGCGATGTGAAGTGAAACTCCCGTACGGGTGGTGACTTTAGGCTTATAGCTTCCAACCCAATGGCGCTGAATTGTAATAAATTCAGATAAATAACGGGCAGTTAAATGCAATGGATGAGCGTTTACTCATTTGGGTTTAAGACCACGAGATTCCTCTACGCTCAGAAAAATAGCGTTTAATATTGTGCTAATACTAATACCATTTCTGCGCGTATCACGATACGCCCTATATAGTAAGACCAAACCGGGTCAAGATGACGCATAAAACAAAGAAAAGTCCATCGCTATTTAGACCAAGTCACCTTATTTCTCTGAGTGTACACAACGGATAACGGCTTCAGTCCAACAGTTAACAGTGAATTCCAACGTGGAATTAAATTTCGGGGGCACGAAACTGATGCCATCACTTGCACACGTCTGATGATTCCAAAATAGATGTCTGGATGTCCGACGGTGAAAGTGAAAACTCTCGTCATTAAATTTAAATTGAGTTCATGATGAATATGCTTAGTAATTCATAACCAGAAGCACAAAATGAACTATTATAATTAACGATAATGCACTATATTTTGTGGTTAACATTTTGGCGACCTAACATACTGAAAATTCTTGTTCTTTAGTCAATCACATGTTGACAAGAAAACAATTGACAATTGTTATCTTGTTTACAGCATACAGTTTTTGCTTTTTAGCGAATAACATATTTTCAACATAACATATTGACAAAACGAACTATTGACAATTCTCGCTCGTTGCACGGAAATCAAGAGAAGCATGGGTTTAGCTTGCTGCAGGCCCGGCATCGTCATTGCGTTTTCTCCATCTCAGGACCAACCGACCAGGTGTGACGTCACACGTGAAAGTCGTGACGTCATTTACTGCTTTGCTTGCGGATGGTCTGTAAACTCCACGTTGTGTGACCGTAAGTTTCGATAATTATACGATTACAGCGAAAGATTTTTTCCGATGAGAGATTCATTGTCACAAATGTCTATTAGGATTAAGCAGTCAGATATATTCAAATAATCTCTTGATATTTTCCCGAAATAAAAAAAAAACACTTTATCTGCAAATTTTTTTCAAAACGTACTCTTCGGTCTTCTGATGTGTGTGCAGTTTGTGGTTGCCCTCGCTCTCGCAAGTTCGTGCGCGATCGCGGATCGTTCAGCGCTTGGAACATGGCGTTAAAATTTTACAACCAATATTTCCTGATTTTTCTTGTAAGGAATGCATTGCAGTGCAGCGCATATGAGGCAGACAAATTGCACTGCATTATTATTGTTTTGCATTAGTTGTGTACAACTTTCTTGTCCTGATGCCCATATTTGCCGAGCAAACTCCACGGGGCACAATTTAACAATATCATTTGTAAGATTTTCCCTTCGTTTTTTTCCTAATTGCTTGACCGCGTAGGGTCCGTACGTTCACTCGTAAAAAATAATGCACCTGTAAGAGTGGCAGCGAAAGTGTTGCCAATTACCTGCAAGGAATTCCCGCTAGATAGTCCTGAGCCTCACCAGTTAAACGCATGCAAACCTTAACAAACATCCTTGGCAAATATCCTCATTAAATATACTCAGTAAATACGCATGCACCAGCTGACTAGCCAGGCATGACCAACTCTTGACCGTCCTACATGACCACATCGTTCACTAACTTACTTCGTACTTCGCTATTCTCTCACTAACTCGAGTCAGTCGAGTTAAATAAAGCTGATGGCGTAAATTATGTGCAAAATTGAAAAAAATTATTAACAGCAAAAAGATTTTGCTAGGTTATATTCTGTGAATTAGTTCGAGTATACCTACACTGAATGAATTCGAGTATAAGCGAATGAATTCGAGTATACCTACACTGTACGAATTCATGTATTCTTATACACTTTGATAATTCAAAGCTACATGCACTGTATGAAGATGAGGAGAAAGTGAATAAAGTAAGCGTGCAAATAGCTACCTAATTTGCATTCGTGCTGGCGATGCAGAGAATCGACGTGACCAATTATAAGGTGGGTGATTAGTTAGCTTTATAATTTACCAGTAATTTGCAGCATGATTAATTAGTTTTTTTGTGATTTATTATCAAGGAGTGACTCCATGATTAATTTTTTTGCTGAACAATCAAATCCGCAACAAGTTTTGCAAATTTTGATCATAATTGGCATGTTCGCTGGTGGTTAAGAATCAGCGTCAGACTAACATATGGCCTTATCTATAGCTGACATAATATATTATACACACAAAACCCCCACTGTACAGGACAAGTAATAGGTTTTTTCGCAGCTTGCATATGTCACTTAAAGTGTAGAACTCACCGACGATGACAGTGCGCATGTCCTCTGATATTTGTATTCAAAATTTGTTATGGTTTTATTGAATTGACCGAACAATTCCTGTAGTTTAGTTATTCCTGTAGTTTAGTTAACCCGCAGAAAAAAACGGCAACGCAATGAGCATCGAAGTTGTAAACATTCAACGGTTACACTCCACGTGCTGTGCAGCTAACAGCTCAACTGCCGGGGCCCATGTGACCTCGGCATCTAAGAAGCACTGCTTTTATGCATTTAAGAAGGCATATAAGATATATATAACTATTATGTATGAAGGAAGAGTTTCGATGGGAATATTGCCAAGCACCGGCGGAAACGATGGCTCGCCATCCGCTGATATGGCTCAGTGTGGCCGCATATTTCTTATCTTGACCGTGACATTGTTTCTTATCTTGACCGTGACATTATTTGTTATCATTGACCGTGACATTATTTCTTATCTTGACCGTGACATTGTTTGTTATCTTGACCGTGACATTGTTTGTTATCTTGACCGTGACATTGTTTGTTATCTTGACCGTGACATTGTTTGTTATCTTGACCGTAGTTGCTTTCCGATGGCCGGTATTGGGAAGAAACATGTGCTCCAGGAAACGTCCAAGATATTGTCGGCTCTATTTCGTCCGGCTGCCGAATTGGAAAGCAAAGTGGGCATTCTCAACAAGCGCATGCATCCATCACTGTATGCAGCACCAAAAGCATGCAGCACTCATTCATGCAGCACTCATTCATGCAGCAACAAACGCATACAGCAATAATACGTGCAGTATTCATTCGTGCAGAAACAAACGCATGCAGCATTCATTCGTAATGCAGTGGTTAGCATTCGTCTGTTATTAATTTTACTACTGATTTCGTTCATTTATTTACGTATTCATTTTATATAGGATTTTAATCTAGTGATATCCGTAGCCCAATTTCGGATAATAGGTCTTGCTAATGGCATATATTCTAGTAAGGTTTTGTATATATTGATCAGTAAGAAATAATCTCTATATATTTTAGCGATCGGATTCATCTTATCTTTTATTAATTTTAGTTTTGTTGTTTTTTACAGGAGTCTGGATCGTGAACCAAATCTGTTAAATACACTGCAAACACACTAAGGATCAAGTGACAGCTACACACTTTATCCAAAGAAGATACACAACTGAGAACCTGGGGCGGATCCCTTACAGTACAGCAATTAATAAACGATTGAATGCAGCATTCAATTGTGCAGAACTATTTACTATATAAAAGCAAGCAGCAATCATTGATGTAGCAAACATTGATGTAGCAAACATTGATGCAGCAATCATTGATGCAGCAATCATTAATGCAGCAAATATATTGATGTTGCTTTGAACAGAACAATTGGAAATCATCCCTTAACTAGTCGATATTTGATTCCTTTTCCCGATATTCTTGAGGAAGAGAAACTTGCCAGACGTTGTAGTTAACAAAGACCTACAAATGATTTATTATTAATTGCAAGAAGACAGGAAAATCTTCGAGCTAAGCAACATGGAGAAACATAAACACATTCATGCGTAAACATCCAGAACTCATGTGAATTCCCTCAAATGCGCTAAGAATATGACGGCCCAGAAGATCGTCAACAGCAATTTCATCAATGTCCACGTCAGCCTTGACAAGTAACATGTCAATTGCTGTTTATGACTTTTATAGCTATTTCATGCTTGACCTAAAAATTCTGTTAATTGAAAAACTTTAATCATCTCAAGCTAAGATGGTTTCCGTTACGAAAGTGATGTGTAAAATAGGGAAACCGTTGTTGCTTTCCGATGGCCGGTATTGGGAAGAAACATGCATGAGCTCCAGGAAACGACCGAGATATAATCGGCTAGCTCTACCCTCCGGCTGCCGAAATGGAAAACAAATTGGGCATTCTCAAGCAGCGCATCAATCACTGTATGTAACATTCATTCATGCAGCAACAAACGCATGCAGCAATTATACGCGCAGCATTCATTCGTGCAGCAACAAACCCATGCAGCAATCATTCATGCAGAAACAAACGCATGCAGTATTCATTCATGCAGCGACAAACGCATGCAGTATTCATTCGT